TTAGGGGTTTAGGTTTGGGGTTTGGGGTTCTTCAATTTCAAGCGTCGATTGCCGCCCTGAACCCTGAATCATAAACCCTCCCAAAAGCCAGAAGAGCTTAGTGTGATTTACATGCAGGGCTCTTTAGCCGACATGTAGGGATACCAGCGGCTCGACCCTGATCCCTCAACGGCTAGACTACAAAATATTCAGGCTGTTGTTGCGATGGGTCCACGATATCCGCTGTCCTAAGGCATCCTCGACATCATACCCTCAGCTTAAATCTTTAAACCCTGAACCGAGAAGAGCGACGCAAACCCCAGCAGTCTGAAAGCCTGGGAACTCAGGACGGGAAACTGCAACCCCAAATCAAAAATCCTAATGTAGGAACCTGATTAAGAAACCCTGGGCCTTTCTTAGGGTTCTTAATCTGAACCCTAAGATATTTGGGGTTCTAGGGCCAGGGTTTCTGAATCAGGTTCCTACATTAAACCTCTCAACCCCAAAGCCTACCCTAAACCTGCCCCTGAACTCGTTTTTCATCTCAATCACCTGTCTTACGAGCTGGGCACGCCTTCCGCTTGAGCTCCTCTTTGCGCGCCTGCTGACGCGCCTCGAGCTTCAGAACCTTCCAGCAGTTTGGGTCTGGCGTTTGTTGGGGGTTATGGGGGTTTCGGGTTTAGCGTTCTATGAGCTTCAGAACCTTCGGGAAGAGGTCAGTTTAGAGGATCAAGGGACTGAGCAAGCAGGTTGGAAAGCGGCTCATGGCCAGTATAACCGTAAACCCGAAGTAGAACTTCTATCCGGCTAGCCCGGATGTGCGGTTAAGTCTTGGGATGCATTTTTGTTGTTAAGGTTGTGTTGGATTTAGGGTTTAGCGTGCGTGCGTGGCAGCACCTGCCATTTCAGCAGAAGGCCATGAAAAGGCACACAAATCCCGAGCCATAGTCACCTGAGCCAGCCCAAACCGTGCATGTCCCAATATAGCTAGTCCATCCCACCACGAAACCCCACTGCCCAAAACCTACAAACCCTGAGCCCCAAACTCCTAGCCTACACCAAAAGCCTGGAAATCCCACATGAAACCGAGACACACACCCACACACACACAC